ACTTTATTCTTATGAAATTTTTTTTTGAAGTAATTAATTGTTTCTTTTGAAAATTCTTCTTTGAATTTTTTGACTTTTTGATCTTTTCTTTGATTTAGAACTTTTTATACAATAAACTTTCTTACTACAATATGTGCATTTGGTATTTTTTTTGCAATCATGAAAACACTATGTATTATTAGGAGCATGAAGTTGTGGTTTGGATATGTTATATACTGCTAATGTCATCTTTACGATAGATCCTATATTCTCATTGTAAGACTTTTGTTGTAATATTGACCTATGACTATTTATAATATTAATTTGATTGGCATGTAAGTTCCTTGTGACACTTTAAGTATTTTGAAGGATTCTACAAGTTTTTCTATTAATGCCATAATAATATCTATATTTGATTATTTTTTTGCCAATTGATGCAAGTTTCTCAATCATCTTCCAATGCTTGTCTATATATATAAGAACATTTATTCATTTATATAGATCAAAATTTATAAATCAAGCATAATAGACTTGAAGTATTTTTTACCTTGTACATTTCTTTAAAATATTTCTATATTGCCTCTATGCTTTCAATCTAGCTTATAGTCATAAATTCTATGACTAAAAGATGAATGAAAATTACAAATATTATCTTAGAATTTGTATTCTCCCATTTGTCTAACTTTGTTGAATCTATAGGTGACTTAGTAGGTTTCTTGTATTTTCCAAAAACCACCTTCTATAAATCATTATTAATAATAATGAACTTAATCCTTTCCTTTTACAGATGCCAATTGATTCTATAATTTTTTTTTTATAATATATTATTTTCTTTCTATTTTTCAAAGAAATTATCCAAGATAAGAAAAGTAAATAAGAAATTAGAAAAGAATTAGAAATAGAATTTAGTTGATGATTAATATCTATTTTAATTTTTTATATTTATTTTTTATTATTTATAGAAATTTAAAAAAAATTAAAAACTCTCAAAGAAAAAGAAAAAGAAAAAACTAACTAACTAACTAACAAACTAATTAACTAACTAATTCAGATACCTAAATTATTTTTCTATCAATGCTTCTAAAAAAAATCGATTCTAAATTTTCAAAATCAAAAAAAATATAGCAATACAAAGTCAATGATATTCAAAAGTAATTAAAAAAAAATAAACAACCTCAAAACTTTCTAAAGTCCTTGGATTCTCTACTTTTTTTGGGATTGATTTTGGTATTTTTATTTTGAATTTTCAAAGTTCTTCATTGCTACTCCCATGTCTTGTCAATTGCCAAAGCTAAGCCTTCCAACTATTAAAAAAGTTTGTTCATGTCTACACACATCTCTATTACACTTTGTGCTCTCAGTACAATTTCTTATGGTCTTAATTTTCCCTTTGATTGTTGCATCTTTATTCAAGATTTTTTTTAAACTCCAACGGCTTCCACTATCTACTTTAACAATCTTTGTTGTAATTTGAGGGCCTTTGGAAGCTATTGCAAAAGAGTTCCAAATTCAAGTTCTTACTCTTAAAGGTAAATAATAAATTGCACATGAGCAATTACGGATTTATATACTTTAGGATTTAAAGTTCCTTTTAAACCAATTTAAAAAAAAAAAAAAAAAAAAAAAAAAAAAAAACTCTATCAATGTGATCAAAAGATCATGTCCTGCAAATAATCTTACATTCAATCTACAAACAACAACCTAGAGTCCTAAGCTCTAATATCATGTGAAAAAATATGAAGAAATGTATTGCTAAGATAGAAGCTTAATAATGCAAATACAAAATGAACTCACTAACTAACCACATAAAGTGAGTCTTGGCTTGGGACTCTTATAGCTCAAGTTTATAGTCTAATAACAAGGATGTTTTAGTGAAAGTATATTAATAATAGATTACCACTAAGATCCATTTTATTTAGAAATAATTATCATGTTAGGTCATTTATAGCTATATAGTAGTACCACCAACTTATAGCAATTACAAGTTGTCAATTGGTGGTAATATAGTGTCAATAATCTACATACTAGTAAAACACTAGATTCAAAATATGAGTTATACATGGATCTAAACACTCTTTTAATATTTATTTTAGAGAATTTTTATTAATATTAAATAAATAAATAATCATTTTTTTGTAATATATTTAAAGATTCTTATAAATATATAATAATTTTTAAATTTTTCTTTGAAACTACATAAAAAGACTTTGTACTTAAGGAACAAGGTGATAGAATACAACTCATTAACTCTTTGATTGTTTGAAATTAAGAAGCTTCACTAAGTTAATTTTATATTTAACAAAGTAAAATCAAAGGTCTCAAAAGAAAAAAGTGAGATAAAATGTATTTTTTTTCTACAAAGCATGAATAATGTTGTCTTATCTTCTAGAATTTGTGCAAGGTCCATTTTAATTGGTGTTTTCTAAAAGAATTTAAGTAGTATCAAAAATCACTGAAAATAACTATTAAAAAAATAATAAATAAATCTATATGCTTTTCTTAATTTTTAGAATTAAGATATAAGCTCATATATTTAGTCTTGTAATTAAAAAAAAAAAAAAAAAAAAAAAATGGTCCATTTGATTGGCTTTTCATCACTATATACTATCTCCAAAAACCAAGGCTTCTAAAGAAGGATTTTTCTTTATCAAGCATGACACTTTAATAAGGCTTTTGAACCATGGCATTTTAAAGTGGGCTTCTAAAAATAAACATCTCCTCAATATATAACAATATTAGTTGTAAGTTATTACATCTTTATCTTCTTCATAAATCAGAATTCAAATCCATGCATGGATTTTAAAAATTCTATACAATTTATTTAAAAGTCTTATACAATTTTATTTTATTTTTGTTTTTTGTTTTTTTGTTTATTTTTACAATTCTTAATATAAAAATGACAATCTTCTATTCAAATCCGGGCTTAAAATTACATATAAATGATAAATTTCTAATTTTTTAGGCCATAAGACACTAAACATTAATAGCTCATATAAATTTTTTGACTCCATGAATAATATACATTTCTTTGTTGTAACATATAAATAAATAACTGTATGACTTGAAAAAAACAGCATTCTATGATATCTGTCATGGTAAGTTTGTGTTGACCTCATGTGCCCATGTTTTGCATTTTCTCAATTAATATAAATATTTTTTTAACCTTGATGTGCTTGTTGTTTGTTTTAAGATGTGTCCAAGCACTTGAGACGTGTGGTCAATCCATCTTATATAATGAAAAAAATGTATCATGTTGATTCTTTTGGACAAAAGCATTATTACACCAATCCCATACTTCATATTGCTATTATTTTTATTTCTTCTTTTCAACTTTGGTTTATCAGTTTGGGTTGGGTAGTTGTTATTGTAATTGGTATTATTATTTTGTGATTTTATAATTGAAATTTTCTTGTGAGAGAATTTGGTCTGTTGTGCCTTGCCAGTTATTAAATCAAATATTTTGTATCACCTAAGATTTCGGGTTTAGGGTTTAAGATTTTTATATGAGAAAAAGAAAACATGAGTTGTCTTAGGAACCACCCATGGTGATACAAGGTTGTGACAAAGTTGATTTCTGATTTTGCAATGAGGTCAACCTGCAAAGATGACCAAGATCTCAAGATAAATGTTCTCCCAAACTCCAAAAGATACCAAGGGAATTGAATTTTTGTTTTTGTTTTCCCCATATTAACTTCTCAATCTTCATGATAGGGAAAAACTCCAATTCTTTTATTGCCAACCTCATTTCCTTTTCATTGCTCCTTCAGATATATATATATATATATACACATGTATATATTCATGTACTTACATACACATTTTAATATTATCAAAATGCATGAAACAACCTAAAAGACATAGACATGTGTATATATATATATATATATTTTTTTTTTTCTTTTCTTTTCTTTTGTACATTTTTTATATTGCATCTTGGTGCTAACAAAGATAGTTGGCAAAACGTTTCTCTTAGTATAATTACTCCTAATTCCCAGCAACTTCATAGAATGTTTCTTCTTAGCACGTAAATATTTAGTTCAAACATTGTACCAAGTTTTTAGCAAATTTTTAGTTCAAAAATTTTTAGTTCAAGGAATTTGCTAAAAACTTTAAGAGTGAGGAAATATCTGCTTTTTCTACAATAATATTAATCATAACCAGCTGCAGATAGAAAATCATGCCAAAAGACTTTGAGGCTCACTCCAAGCTGGTCAGGTTTTGGAGGAAATATCCCTCCTTTGCAAAGGATATCCATTTCCAATAGATCAAAACAATATTTAAATCACGAATTGAAGTTAGGGAAACACATCCAACCCCAACCACATTCAATCACCTTTACAAGATCAAGATAAAACAAATATCCATTTCTTGCGTCAATTTTATAGAGGGCATAAGGCAAAGACAACATCCATAGGGCAAATTTCCCCACTAGTTGCACGAGAACTGCTAAAGAAGACCATACTAGTAAAAAGATTCCAGTACAAACGGGACGAGGCAAATAACAAAAAACCTCGCTGCAGAACCAAACAGTAGACCATCCACGATCGCAGCCATTATTGATGCAAAGCAAAAGTGTGTTACACCTCTGGTCAAAATATATTTATTTCAAATTCCATCATACAGGATACTATTGAGAGCATGAACCTTTGTGCAGTATCGAAGATAGTCAATACTCCACATGTGACCCCGCATAATGCACAAATTACTGTCCTACTTAACACAAAAATATCTACACATTTTCCAAAAGCTCAGCAACTAAAAAAAACCACCAATTCGAAAGCTGCACTTCAATTTTCATGTCCGAAGATCTAAATCTAAAACCTGTCAAAGCCTGTCACTGACAACATGATATGAATGCATATAAGCTAATCACGATTCATTCCAAAACCATCTGATCGAGCCATTTGATCGAGCAATTTGATCCTCCATGCCTAAATATCAACTGCCCTGCAAAAGCGCCCTCTAACTTCCAACACCAGCACAGCTTCCCACTCACAACAGCGTACCAGGGAACCACCTCACTGCCCTCAACAACGATTACCATTTCACATCATCCATTCACAACATACCCACATATCACGACAACACTGCCTTGGACACCACAACTGTAAAGATGAAACATCACGTTTTTCTAACGCCGCCTTTCTTACTCCTTCATCCACATCAAATGCTTCCTTCCATCTCTAAACTATTGCCTCAGCAAGCAATTAAGGAATCTGTCAATTTCACATCGTTTATCATCCTCATGTCAACTGTCCCCTACTACATCTCTGACACTCGTACACGCCTCTGTTTACACTGGAACACCCGAAATGTCAATACCGGACTCTCTTCTTCCTGTTCTCCATTTCAATGTTCTCGTCCTGCACACGCCCCGCCATCAAATCGCTACGTCAACAACCCATTTCATCGCACCCCCTACGACACTCCATTCCCTACACCTCTAATCCCAACCAAACTGCGTGCATCAACTCCACACACACCCACTAAGTTACCATTCATATCCAACACATGCGCCTCTATAACTCTTCACTCCACCACCAACGCTCCCAAACCAAGCTACCCAATGCATACGCTACATCATCACCCACTACGTACCTTGCTTTCCAAAGCTTCAAAATTGTCTAGTAACGGCATGGCTGTATCATCTCCCCCTCCCACATCAACCTCCATGCGAACACTATCTGCTGCCATCAACTCCGGTTGAACCTGCAAATTCCCCAACCACACCCCCTCGTGAATCATACCACCCTCACCAAACCACATCCGCTCATTCCATATCACACTCCCCGCGCCCTTCCCGCGCACCAAATCCCAACTCACCACACTCCCCATTCCCGCGCTCTCCATGTTCCCATCCCTCGACCACTCCAACCCCCTCACTAATTCCTCTCATCCACTTTACCTCCTCGCTGTCCTCCGTTAGATCTGCCGTCGCTGCAGACTCCGTCTGGCACTTCGCGTGAACAATGGGCCCCAAATTTACACTGTCGATCCCCTCTATAGAACCGCCCGCAGGAACGTTCATATACACCGCACCCTTGTACATCCACTCATCCCTCTCGTCGCTGTAAAAATCATCGAATGGCTCTCCACACAACGCGCACACGCTCTGGTTGTAATCTGCTGGAACCGCCAGACTCTCGCCCTCGTCCGCTTTCGCTGCACCTGCACCCACCTCTGCAGCGAAAAAACTAGGCGCCGCTTCCGCACTCGATGCCACCGTCCCGCTCAGCCACTCCTTCTCGCTTACGAACCACTTCCGTGACACCTTCTTCTGCGACTTCTGCCGCCTGTTCCTCGATACATGCCAATCCATGTGCTTGCTGTGAGCCTCTTGCTCCAAAAATCGAAGCCCGCACGTCTTGCATTGCCGAGGAAAATCATTGTACAGCGCGTCTATTACCACCTCGTGCCTCTCCCTCAACACTTCCGGCTTGAACTCCGTCCCGATTGGATCATCCTTCACTGCCACACCCTGGCTCCCTGCTGCTGCATCACCCGCGTACCGAGATGAGCTGTCCGCGCCGGGACCCACGCTGCCCCCCAAACCACTCGAAAGCGCAAACGCCTGCACACTGCTCGCCTGCACGCTGCCTACATTTGGGTTGAAGAACGACGAACTCGTGCTCGCCGCGTTCATCCCTCCTCGCACATCCACCACCGCAGCTTGGACACTCGTCGCAGCCGTCGCACCGGGAGCAGATATCAGGCCTTGAGCTAGCAGCGACTTGAACAGGTTGTCGAACTGGTTCACTCCCGCTCCCCCAGACCCCTGACCCCCGGAATTGCCCGTCAGAGCTGACGCTGGTGGCGGACCAGGAGGAAGAGGAGGCTGGTTCGGAACACCTCCCGCCTGGCTGGGGTACAGCATTGGAGGCGCCAGCACCTGACCCTGTGCTGTCGTGTACTGCCCTCCCTGTTGTGCTACCGAGTTGTACAAAAAACTAGGCGGCGAACCGTTCGGTAGAGGAGGTGCGCCTGAAACCGACTGCAACACCTGACCCGTCGTTACAATCTGCGACTGGGTTTGCGATGAAGGAAGCGCTTGCTGCTGTTGCTGCATCGGGTTCTGCGAAGCTGGCAACTGCTGTACTAGTTTCAGCAGCTCAGAAATCGCTGCGGTGTTCAGGGGGAGAACACCACCCTGATTACCACCCAAACTTGACCCTCCTTGTGTTGCCTGCTGGAACTGATTCAACTGCGCTTGCATTGTCACCACTCCACTCCCGCTTTGTTGCGGGTACTGGTTCTGCGTGCCCTCTGAACTCACAAGACCGCTCTGCTGAGATATCACCGCAACCTGCACGCTCGAATTACCTGCCTGCTGACTCGGACCAAACAGAGGCAATTGCAACATTCCACCTGCAGACACTTGCGGTAAACCTACTGAACATGGAACTGCCTGCGAGGAATGTACTCCGTTCGCCTGCCCATCATTCTGGCCTTGACCAAACGGAACACCAGACGAGCTGTTATAACCCGGACCCTGCCCTAGATTCGACCCGTAGTTTTGCCTCAACCCATATGCTCCTCGTCCACCTTGAACGCTGTCTCTTCCACCTGGGGAAAGGATTGGAGGAGTCCCTGGTCGTGGTTGCACGTTTGACGTACTTAGTGCCATGCTGAAATTCGGAAGCGTCACCTGCAAACCACCAACACAACTTTCACTACCACAACGTCCATAATCAAACCCACAAACAACACACCCGCGGAATCAAATGTCACTTCACTGCATGCATCCGCTCAACCCAACCTCATCACATCCCATTCCAACGTTCACCAACGTAAACGCTCGCTACAAAACCAACGCCGCGAACTCAGAATACAACAAATGGATACTCCCAAGTAACTTTGTCCCCAACACTACCTGCACTGGAGGTAATCTTGTCTGACCAGAATTCATCACATCCATGTCCGGCTCCACCTTCAAACGAGACCCATGACTAGACTGGGACATCGCGAGTCGACTGCGCTCCTCAGACTCCTGAACATGAGCAATACTGCAAGCTTCAGATCACTATGTACGAGCAACTACCCATTGCCACACACCGATTGGACTGGTCAAAACCAGGGCTTTCACAAACATTCCTCAGAAGCATTGTTTTATCCCAATACACATGCGAACACTTGCATCGTCCATGTGCCAAATTGCAAACACTCAACACAAGCAATATCATCACATCACAGTCTACTGATGTCTACAATCAAGATAACGGCCGTACTCTGCGGAGAGTTCCCCGAATTGCTGCTGGACCAGAGAACTGTTCGGATTGAGAACCGCTTCCAACTCTCCGCCAGTCGTCCAAACCTCCCACGGGTTCAATCCCTGGCCTGTTCGAATTTCCTGCCCTTATCATGTCCCTGTCTACACTTAACCATTCATCCGCTTTACTGTCGCCGGCCTTTCGATCTGGTTCCTGTACCTGTGGATGCATATCTTCCCATTGAAATTCCTCTTCTTCTTCATTTTGCCAGTTTCCCCTCCCTACGACCTCGCTACCCAGGCCCCGATCTAACCTCAAGCCTCGACTATCTGCTCCTAGCCCAACGGTTTCAGATCGTAAAGCACGGTTGTCAAGCACTGAACCCCGAACATTAGGCCGTAGTCCAGAACCGTCTGGGACTAACCCCCGACTCTCCAGACCCATGCCACGAGTATCCAACCTATTGCCTCGGCCACCAGCCTCCAAACTGCGGGTTCGGCTGTCGATTCTGTATCCCCGCCCTTCTTCTACTTCAGACCCCAGCCCTATTCTACGACCCCTTCCATCCGCACCAACGGGAATTCGAGGATCCATCCTACGACTCCGCACTTCGCCTCTACCTCTGCTACCAAGATCCACAGACTGTGACGCAAGAAAAGCACCTCCTCTCCCTGGACCAGAGGTGCGACTGTAGTCCTGCCCATCCACACCTACAGGCCTTGCTCCCAACGACTGCCTTGGATCATCCCGACAGCCGTTTCGACGAGGATGACGTTGTGACCGCTCATCAGGAACTCCATTCCCTTTTTCGGCATCTCCCTCACGTAACCACGAACCGCTCTCTCCTTGATCAAGTCTCTCTAGTTTTCTTAATTTACCAATTTCGGGTCTTGGAACTCCCCGTCTCCCAAGCTCATAATCTGAGTAATCCAATGTAAGCTCTTTGTTGTAACCTGGTTCAGCAAGACGCTCTCGATTGAAATGCCCAATCTGATCCATGATGCAGACACACCATTGTCAACGACAACCAACGACGTTATTGACTGCAGATTCCATTCTATAGACGGTGAAACACCAACACCACTAAAATCTGCTGACACGCCTGACTAGCAGTAGATGGAAACACATCGGTATGGAGGTGTACAGGACGCATGCAGCAAAAAGAAAACACCTGTTTGACCAACTATTGGACGAACTATTGACTGAACATTTGCTTGGCCAAGATCGTACAATTGCTCTTTGTGTTTCCGGCCATGTCTTTGGATTTTCCCGTAGCGTAGATTTGTCTTGCCTCAATTTAGCATCGCCGTTGGTTTCCGCAGGAGACATACTATCAACCTATCAAGAAATAAGTACTGGACACATCAAATCACAAGAAAAAGAGAAACAGTGGCTATTGACACCAAAGACACAAAATAATGACCTACCTTCAATCTCAACGGGCATTCTAGTTGCAGGAAAAACATTTAGTGCTTATCAAACAAAGACTATAAAAAGCAGACATGAAACATGGTAAGTGAGAAGTGCAAACCCTGCTTGGTCTTGTCTGCTGTATAAGTTGGCGTTGCTCCAAGTACTTCGGATTCACATGTATACCATGTCCAGGACGCACAGCAGGGTCCACGGCTCTTGGGGGCTGAGTAATACTAGCAGGAGCACCAGGCTTCGGGCCCAACTGCAGTTCTGTCTCGATTGTTCTAAGAGGAGCTTGTGGAAAAACACCCCGCCAGGTCCAAAATAGATGTTGCATTGCTGTGTAAAGACTTGGATCTACTTGTCTGTATGCTTTACAAAAAACCTACACACATAATAACATCCAGATTGAAAGAATGAACGCACAGATCACAAACGCCAAATCCTCACACCAGAACACACAATGTAATGAAGACTACAATTAACCGAAAAGAAACCTGTAGTTCCGAATATTAACAGAACGAGGGAGCCTTAAGCATAATTTTTCCGCTAGCATAGAGACAATCAAACGGCATGCATCTGCGAGTACCTCAGGAAGTCGTGCAGCAAAGTATTTTACATACTCGCCTCCAATATTCTTCACAATACTATCAAGGAGGTATAAAGATGGAAGCTTCTGGTCCTTTGGAACCTGAAAATTGTATGCAACCAAAAAATAAATAAATAAATTAGGATAGAAGGTGGAATCTATGTCACTGAAACCCAAGCTAAGTAGCGAATAAATAAGAATAGCAATTAGTAGGATACATTATGAACTCTCTCTCTCTCTTTCTCTCTCTCTCTCCATGGAACGCTACTAGATAGAAAATCATTTTAGATTAGCACTAGTTCGCGACCATTGGCGCATCTGTTACAAAACGGTGAATTAGTATTTGACTTTAAAATACAAAGATATAAATCAAATTAAATTCAACGCAACCTGATCCTTGACAGTAATCTAGACTGTTCAATTTTTAAACACCTCGCCAGGCGGCCCCTTCATAAAAAGAATCCATATAACCCTACCGTCGAACAAAGATAGTGCAATCACAGATTTTCTCGATTACATAACTTAGCATACATTAAAGTGTATTGTGACCCTGAGATTTAAGAAGGTTACACACCACTCGTGACCCATTGAGAAGCAACCCAAGTCAGAACACAAACCCGTTGCATACCGGCGTGAACACTAAAAAACCGGCTCGTCTGCACAAGTAATCCTAAGAAACATGATGAACCTGCCCAGCTGATTAGAAGTACACGTGCAAATTACAAGCAAGGACATTAAGAATGTTGACAGGAGGACCTTAATTAGTCAAGGCTCAATTTTAACATTATTTTGTGCATGGGTTACCGGGCATACCGTAATAATGTGGTCGCAGATCGTTTTCGTTATGCCGTGGGCGGCGTGCGCATTCTCCCCGGCTATGATAGTCAAATTAGTGATGATGGGTTTGGAGTTAAATGTCAACTCCACTAGTGCAGACTTATACTGCGTGACAAGTTCCAGTAGCTCTTCAGCCGCTGAGGCAATCTCTTCTCGATTTCCACCTGGGCCTCTATCAACCGGACCATCATCCGTCTCCATTTCTCTGCCTGTCATTGTGAGGTGACCTACTCTCCTAGGGTCGCCGTCCAACATATCCCTCTCAACAATCAACTGTCTGGCAGGATAGTTCCCAAACTTCATCAGCTCTCTTTCACGCTCTGGAACAGAACCTCGGGCCATCCTTATATTGCCCGGAGGTCCACTTCCAATGACATCGCCATTATGTCTGTCCCTGGGCATTCGAAACCATCAGAGCAAATGCAGAATCTTTTATCTCCCTCGCTCGTCTCAATTGTCAACTTCAGGAAAATATCTTCCTATTGGTTGACACCAAAAAACTGCAATTTCCACAACATTCCTGCTACACTCCCCCGCACAAACGATACACCTCAGTTCTATTCACGTCCAAAATAAAAATGTACACATCACCTTCTCCACCTGCTCGATGACAACTCGCCTCTCTGCCCCCTCGCTCTTAACTTGCAGTACAATCAACACTCTTTTCACTGTGTTTCACAATTTGAAATCGGCAGAGCATAAATTCCAAAATACACTCAAGCAAGGGACACCACCGCCAAAGACGACACCTACAGTTGCCCCATTAATTCTTCTCGTCAAACCCTAAGAACCATCAAAACCTGCCCGAAATGAACTCAACACTCTCATACCCTAAAGATCTGTTTTCCCATTCAGTCCCACATTTTGCATAACACACTGCCACAACCACCCACTCAGCCTTGCCTCCTCAACTTTCCACCATCCCAGACTTCCCGTGAATGACATTCACACATTAATCTATCAACAAGCTTTTTAGCCACCATGTATCCGAGGTAAATCGTCCACCACCTCCATAACTAAGCACCAGATTCTGTACAAACCCAAACAATAACCACACCGCACCGCACCGCAGCACCAACCAAGCTGCAGAAGGTGTAAATTACTCGCAAAAATCCGAAACAAGCTGCTGAAGGCGGACCTAGAGTCCCGTGGAGATGGCGAGCAGGAGCTCAACCGAGACGCTGCCAAAGCAAAGCTCTCGCTGTCGCTCGGCAAAGGGTAATGAGACATCCACCAGCGTCACCTCACTACCTCCTGACGCCCTTAGACGCGCGGCGTTGTACGTCACGGCGCGTCACGACAAGGTAAAGCACGGCACGGCGGCGCTTACAGTCGCTTGTGGTTTCCCTTTCTAGAGGTTCATCTTTAAGACACCCTTATTTCCTTCTTTTGTGCAGATATTTACAGCACGCTTTTACTTTTACTTTTTCTACTTTGACTTTTATTTGGACAATTACTGTGCTTGATTTTTATACTAACTAATTTATACTTTTAATTTTTACTTGAAATATGTAACCTTCCTTATTGAATATACATCCGCATGTGGGAATTCTTTTGATCACAGTTTGTTTACCATATTTTTTTAAAATTGTCTTGCAATGCAGCTAATTACTTTTTCAAATATCAATGTGCATCGATTTTCTTTTTGAGATTTTCATTGTTTTTATGTATTTGAAACACGATGTTCTTAAAATTGTATGTGATATTAGAAGTCCATTTATATTGCTTACAAATGCTTTTAGATGAAACATTACTAGGTTTACATAAATTAAATTCAACACTGTAAAGAATTATATTTTAGTACATGAGGACTGGTTCCATTTCTTTTTTCTTTTTTCTTTTTCTTTTTTTCTAATCATCTTTTTTAATTACATGTATGTCTACTATCTATATCTATGAATAATACATAACACATATCCTTAATAATACATACAAATACACATATGACTGAGAATGTTAAGGAAAGTCTCACTTCATTACTTTTTTAGTATTTATCAGAAACGAAATGAAACAAAATTCAACATGCAGTTACGAATACAGCCTTTTGGCTTGTTGCATTAGAATTTATGAACTTAATGAATTCTTGTGTTCGAGTATGACTTCATTTATTTATTTATTTATTTTTATATGGAATCTTTGTTTGTTCCTCCGTGAATTAGAGCCTCTTTTCCTATATTGTATTCTTATTTTATATACTTTTATATACTCTTTTAATATTTATGCACAATCCTTGATAATTCATGTGTATTTGTGTGTATTATTAAGGATTACATCCTTAATACTCCTTATGGATGTAATCCTTAATAATACATATATATATATATATATATATTTTAAGGACAAGTTGCTGCATTGATGCGACCTCCTCAACCCACGAAAGTGTGCTTCTGGGTCAAGAGTTTCGCTCGATCGGAAAATGTGGGCATTTTTCAATGACAGCAGCAACTGAATGATGGTTGGAACGACGAAAAGGATTTCCTGTTAAAGAGGTGGGAATTTATATTTGGCACCAAAAATTGGATCTTCCGTTAAAATAAGCTGAATCATTCCTGGAATCAACGGAAATGTGCCAAAACAACTACCCAGCTGCAGATAATCCCCATTACATAGATTGATGGCAATGAATCGGAATGTCCAGGTTGACATTTCATGCAATGCTTAGTCAGAATACGCTTCATGTGAAAAGCGACATGGACACAGCAGGGTCTGCCGAAGCAGATCCAGGAAGAATAAAGTAGACATCAGTGTACAGTATATTCAGTTCAAAGTACAAGTGCTATGGCATCCACCATCAGTTGCGCTACTTGCTCATGAACTTCAGTTCCAGTTTTAACTTGTGGAAAAAGTGCGTATATAGTATAGTAGCTTACATCTCTTCACATTTCAGGGTGGACATCGAAACAAAAGAGAAAAATCACAGGTCTTCAATTTGTACTAGCAATCCTCATTGCAAATGATATCACACTGTCAGGAAAGACCAAGTCTTTTTAGGAGAAATGAGAGAATATTCTCCACAAAAGAAGCTTAAAAATAGGATCCAACACGTTCATTGTGTGAAGTCTTCTTATGTCTTGAACATTTTGAGCCTAAACCGTTTTGTAGTACTCATGCGGGTAAGTGGCAGCAAAGCTACGCTGATCGCCAGGTATGTAGCGCTCCACTTCGTTAAACCAGAGTCAAGAGAAAAGATTGGACATGGAAGAATGCACGCTGACTATGAAAGATCCCTCAGGGTCATCTGTTTGAGCATGTAACGACAAATGAGCAACATTTCTTACAGTTGAGAACACCTCATAACTGTCAACAAAGACGAGAAAATGAAAAATAACGAGAGGCACTGCTACAACTCCCAGTAATATTTGCGCATATTTTGTCAAGGCACTGCAGTAGGGCTAGTTGGTAAGTGTCGGTTACGATGCCAACAAAAACATCATATACGGGAGCAAATGTTTGGAATATGTTCCGGTCGGAACCTAGCAAAGAAAAATTCCTAGTATTAGAGAACGGGAATTGCTGCGGTGGTTGGTTTTCAGCAATGCATCGGAACAAGGAAGAACTTTAGTGCGTATAAAGTGCAATCTGATTACAAGCCTTACGGCTCGGTAAGTAACGATTTGGGTTCAATACATTAAAGCGTGGAAGTTCCTCTCGTTGATAGAATTGAAACTGCTCATCAATGAGGCTGTGGTTAAACTTGTTCAACCTTTTGTTCTGTGCCACTTCTTCCCACGCACAATGTCGATAATAATGGTTGAAAATAGCATACTCGTAGTCCTCCTGCCATTAGAAACGTTCTAATGTCAAAAATGGATTAGCATATAGGCGAAGTTTGCTATCCAGCCATATGGAATACCTGTCAATACTCACCAAGTCAACAACTAGTGGAAGAAAGATCCTACTAACTGTTCAATTTTATGAGTATAACAGACAGTCCAATGGTCCTAAAAACTGCACGACATTTTGAAAGCACCACTCAATGTAAAATGAAATACAACTGTGGTTTGTCTTGATACTCTGAGGCATTTCGGATCTGTGAGACTAGCATATACTAGCATCAAACAAAGGCAGCAGTTTTAGAAACTGGCATTAGGAAATAATCGGTGTGTCAAGAGCTTGGGAACTTTCCCATTTCTTCGTCAATCTTGGTATAGTAAGTTCTTTAAGACATCGATTTTTCACAAGCCAAGAAAACCCTGTCATTGGGTACTTGACCATCCTGATTTATGACATTCACAACTCTTCTAGTCCACGAACATCACAAAACACACAGTCGCTTGACACCTGGAAACCGCACAGGAGAGCTTTAACATCACTTCAAGAGCTGTCTCTAACTAAAACGACTAAAGCACAGCGTGACCAGAAACAGAAGGAGATACCTCACCCTCGAATCAAAACTTATTTTCCTGTTTGTAGGAGTCCTCAAATTATCCCAAGCGCCGAAGATGCAAGAAGAGACTGCAATGTGGCTCTTGAAGTCCTCAAAGTATCGAGATATTCCTTGTCTCTCTTGCTTAGCTCGAACCCAGTCCACCGTTCTCCATCCGGAGCCCTGACGAATTCACACTGTAATGTCTGATCTTCAGCATGAAAAGATCTCTCCCTCTCCGCAAAGGATTGATGACCTCCGAACTTTGCCACCCAATTTGGATCTCCCAGAAGATGTTCCTCCCTTTGGACATAAAGAAATATTTATAAAACCTGAATCTCCCGTATGCTCTTGAAGCTCTTCCGTTCTTTTTAGAAAGTCAATCTCGCAAGGTAGAGCTACACAGTCTGCAAATGTCAGAGACCATCGCCAATGGTGTGCGGTAGTGTACAACATCGAGTGATTGGAAGCTGGCTTCAATTAGAAAAAACAAGGTTATGAAACACTAAGATACGACAGCAATTTTCCAAGTTGTCTAATGACTCGCACAATGAAGAAGTACTTGAAAGCAATGCCTACTCACGGCAAATGATATATGTGTGAATATATTGAAGTGTCATTAGCAAGCAAAGATGTACAAACATGCAATACGCGGCCTTTTCTTTCCTCTGGGGTGCTTACGCACAAGTGCTTTCTGAGAGTCATCCCGTCTATCCACTTCGATGTGATCAGTAGTTGCAATGTGACCCTTCGCAGCATTGAATTCAGAAGTGATCTGACTGTTTCGCTCTTCAAGTCTGTCAGTCACAGCCATGACGCCCTTAGCATCAGTTTGGAAAGTATCCACTTCTCTTTTGAGTCTCGAAATCCGTATTGAATCATCGTTGCTATCAATACCCTCGAGTTTTTTCTCAGCTCCTAGATCACCTCCGTCATCGCCATATTCATCGAGATCAGTCAGCAACCTATCCAGATGTAATTCCTCATTCTGATCCACCCGGTCGTCAAAGCGAGCTCCAATTTCTACCACTTCGTCCCGACCTCATATAACCTACCACTGTATAACCTACCACTTTCTGACTTTTTCTGCACATCATGCCTTTTCTAACCCTGATTCTTACCCACATTTTTGCGTATTGCATCATTGTCGATCCAACCAAGAGTGCCACTGTCTTTACATAGAAGATACTACATTGTCAACAAGACAGTAGCCGAGCATAATTCCTATCCCTCACACCAAGAGGATGGCCTTGATAATATCGACGTGATTCGTATCAAATTAAGAATGCATGAATGCGGTATCTTGGAAAGAGCGACACAAACCAGGGCCCGATCGCTGCCCACTCGTTTCATTCGTTTGAGGAAAACTTCTATCACCTACACACACATCGAAACACTAAAAATTCTAGCATTCTACTCCGCATAAAAAATAATGAGTAAATTTGAAGAATTTTACCCTTTCTCTTCATCTGATTGAAGACGGAAGGTATAAAAATGAACTAAGAGAGGATGCGATAGTAAAGCCGACTTGAATTGTCAATTCAAATGCAGCTTATTGAATCAAAGTCTCACAAGAAGCTACAAAAACTAAGGGGGGAACCCACCTAGAAGGGCATGTGAAATTGCATGAGAGACGAAAACTGAGGCCACCAATCTAAGTACACATACCACCAATATACATGCTACCGAGCAGGGAAGAGACCTCCATGAGTGCGACGCCCGCTTCACTCTCGCTACCGTAGAGGAATTTTTCAAATCACTGCCTGCTCGTAAACCAATTTGATCACTCCTCCCCCCATCGTACATTCTGGAATATCCGAGAGAGGGTCTGAGGATGTCCAATACTTCCTGGTCTCCATGTGCGAACACACTTATTCCCATCGGCCATGTTCCCCTTCCTTGCCTTTGAAAGCCCATGTGTTGAATTCAAGGTTCTCTGCTGTGCGTATCATCCCATCCAGGCCCCCGCTGCATTGTAGCTCAAGCAATGTAACTCCTGCAGCACCTGCGACGACGAGCAAATACATTGTTCGCTTCATTCCCTCACCGAGTCTTGCTCTCCATAGATTCTTGAGGACGTAAACATCTGGTTCTGGAGGTACCACAAGAGCATCAACTGCGAAAATTCAAGTGCCCTGAAGATATCCACCAATTGAATAGAACCGAAGCGCTAATGTATATATAAACAAACCGATAAACAAGAATTAAAAAAATCAAAAATATCAAAACATCAAAATGCAATAAGTTCCTGGATAAACTTCTTCACATGGCTTCCTTACCTCGCCAACGCAGCACCTCCATAACATTGAATCATTCCCTGCAGAATGCCAATGAGCTCATTGTAATAAAAAAAAAAAAAAAAAAAAAAAAAAACACACACACACAAAATAAAAATCCTAGCTTCTCTTCCTCAATACATCCGTAACCTGATCTTACACACATTACAATTCCATGTGACTCCTGATCTAATACCAGCACAATCCGAACCCTTCCGAAACTTCCACCACATCAGCTTTCCTAGAACTTAGCCCTCGATCCTCAACGCCATGTTTCAACCATGCAGCCTGCCTGCGTAAGAATCCCCGCCCAGCAACATGCAACTCTCACCCATACAGCTATGAAACACAACATTGGGTATTGATGAAATCCATCGGAAAAATCGAGAAAAGTGTGCAAAGTAGCAGCTTGGACGGGGCTGAGCAGATCGCCAGCACTCACTCCCACCGACATCGTCGCCGTCTCTTCCTCGCCGCGTTCAGCTCCATCCAGCTTTCTTCTTCGCACTGGCTGTAACCCTTAACAAGCTGAGCTGGACCGAAACGCATCCTAGCTGGCAGGGCTTCCTATCTCTGAACTGATGCATATTATTTTATTTCTGACATCTCCTCCGCGTTTGTTTTGGTCATTTTGGTGGTTTCTTTGGAAACCCTACGAGGTTGAGGTCTCCAACTTTGTGTGTATATCTGTATATATATATATCTATATATATATATATATATAGATATAACAATTGCAAGCTTGATTACAAGATTTATTTTCTTATATGTGAGTTATGAAGATTTCAACAAGTTTGAAATAGTTTTTTTATTATTTCTATGCTGTCAATTTTCACAAAATAATAATAATAATAATAATAAGATGAGAATTTAAAAATTTAAAAATTTAAAATAGTGATTAGACAATATTTTATCTTAATCATGTGGATGTAATTATGCAAAATTTATAATTTTTTTTCTATTTTGGATGAATAAGGAGTAGTGTGAATTTTTAGATAAGAGTTTTGAATAGATAATGCAATATTTGTACACAACAAAACAAGATACCAAAATGTTAAGAAAAACATTTGGAGAATTTTTATAGCCTTAATATCCATTTGCTAAGTTGTATATCAAATTTATTTTGTGATATATGTTGAAATTGCAACATTTATTCTTCAATATATTGGATGCTTAATATAGCCATCTGAATGACTATATCTTTTATTTGTTTATGTGGAGGAGCCTCAATTAGAGCAATAAGAAGAATTCTAGAAAACACATAAGTTTCACTAACTAGAATTGTATTAAGTTCATGTATTAGCATATATATATGTACACATTTGTTACTCTAAAATGAAATTTATTATTATTAAATTTTAAGATTATATATGTTTTGATTGTTATTACTAAATATTTTAAGATAAATTTTAATTAAATATTTAATAAAATATTAATTTAAATTTTATTGATTAAAAAGTAATATATTAAAAAACATCTAAAAACTATTCTACAATGAGAATGATTATGAAATACCTAATATATTTCACTTTATAATTTTGGGATTTATATGACAATCTAGAAATCATGTATATTGTAGGATATACATTTTTAGTTGACATCTATTTTATTTAAAGATTTAAGTGGGCCTAAAAGGACTTTATATGAAGAGAGACTATATTTCTCATATGAGAAACTATGTCCAAACTAAAATCCTTGCATATATGTTACTATATCTAAAAATAAAGGAACACACTTAGTAACTATCAAATAATGATTAATATCATAATTATTATTTGTTCTAGAATTCAACTCCAAGTTCTCTAATACACTCTAACATAGTTACTTGCTACTTATACAACAACGTCTTATTTATGCTATCTACTTAAAATTAAGTTTTTTTTTTATTTACAATTAAAGATTTTATTTATACCACATGTCTTGAAGACAAGGCATGTGCTTAAGAATGAATAAGTAGGGACAAGATGGTCTATTCAAACATTTCTAAAGATAATCATCTATAAAATAATATCTTTAAAGTAGACATAATCAAGAAAACTTGCATAATTAGTATTACTTTTTTATTCAAAGAATGTACAAAATATATCTTTTTAGAAATTAAAATTTAAACCAACAAAATCTTCTTGTATCTCTCTTTGTTATGATTTTAAAAATGCTTGTTTGTGATTTTTCATAATATATATGATCAAGTGTAAGATAGTAAAAAGAAGTGGATGTTTTTAAAAGAGAACTTGACTAAGTAATTTTAAGAATCTCAACAACAATTTTATATGATATAGGTTTGAATCTCATAGTTGTCATGAAGAATTATTTATAATGTAATTCAACAATAGCTTAATAAATTTATGGTTTGTTAACAAAACAACTATAATCTAAAATCTTTTAAAGAAAAAAGACCATGTATATATATAAAACTTAAAATAAATAAATATTATTATATAATATATATTATATATATTAATATTAGTTTTATTTAGGTCACTATTATAAATTAAAATATTATATTTTTATATTTACCAATTTCTATATTTAATTTATTATTAAAATTTTTAAAAGTATATCAAATTTATTTTATTTTATCTTATTTCATTCATATTTTATATGGAAGTTATAATTAATCTGATACAAATAAGACCATTTATAAAATAGATAATCTAATTTCACTGAAAATTTGCATTTATGAAATCTTTTGTTATTACAAAAGATATAGCAAAAATTCAAAAGTTTCTAAACTTTTTAAAAGAATAACATCCATATTCAAATTTAAAAAGTTATTTTATATTATTTAAATATTTTACAATGGTTTAAAAAATCTTAACAAAGATTATAAATGTATGTAATAAGTTTTTTATATAATTTTCTTAAAATTTCATATTTTTTTGTGATTTCTATAATTGTATCTATAATTGTGAATAACTTTCTAAAATTTTATTTTAAAGACAACATTTTTCAAAGTTTATAAAAATATATAAGACTTGATATATTATCAATATTTTTTGAATGTTAAGTCAATATTGATCTAGGAAATCATAAGGTGGACACCTTCTCTTTACTGCATAGACACTTGCCTATGCTATGCACCTCCACACATACAAAATAATACTATTTTTATATCATTATTCTATATTTTATTGCCTTGCTCTATCTCTCTCTTCTATAATAAATGTGGATATAGGTTGAATTTTTTTTTTAAAATAAATATTATGTATATTTAACAATTAATTTTAAAGATATAAATTATGTATAAATATTGATATATGTATATAAATTTATATTTATTAACATATAAATATTTTAAGTTTATTTTATTTATTATCAAATTTATTACTTTTTTATTTAAAATATACCTACAATAATTGTGGATATAATTGTATATATGTATCACAGATATATATCTATTGTAATTGTTATGTAAGAAATATAAATAGATAGAAGTAGGTAAAATTAGATTAATTCTAGAATTACTCTTGTCTCTATATATACTATCTAATTGTTTTCTATGTGGCGACGTTCTATAGGACCTCCAATATGCGTTAACTTTGTAAGATACATGCCTTGACTTACAAGGCAAGTTTTTCTACGTGTGGGCCACATAGTTAGCTTGGTCTTCAAGCTAACAACATGTATGGTACATGGCTAACTTGTTGACTACGTTTCTAATCCAAAAAGATAATTAAAGACACCTATAAAGTCAAAGCAGCGTCTATAAAGCTTCTAGGAAGCTTCTATATCAAATACTATAGAATTAACTTACTTTTACTTATTTTTATTTACTTTTATTTACTTTTATTTACTTTTATTTACTTTTATTTATTTTTACTTACTTCTACTTATTTGTATATGTAATTACTCACTTACATAAATATATCCATGACATTACCTCCCCCCCCTTCTAGGAACGAGTTCCACGAGGAGCGGTCATCATATGTTGAAGAAATCTATGATGTGACAAATTGTATTTGCTACATACTCTGATCTTTGTTCTCTTTGAAGATGATTGATAGGGCCTTTCAACCATCGGTAGTGTCCCATACCAAGACAGGAAGACTATCCAATTATTTGATCATTGTTGAGGCCTTCTTTATTGAAAAAGAGAAATCTAGAAGCTACAAACACTTAGCATCAGCAAGGATTGTAGTCTAAGAGAAGTGTGGAGAAAGATAATTCTTACTTCCAACACTCTTTACTTATAGGTGGTGGTTTGCCTACCAACGAGGTAACTTCCATCCATTTGATATTACATCCATTTCTACCTCATCTTACTAAAGCCTCGGTAGTACCACAATAACTTACTTTACCTCTTTGCTACCTTTTTACTATTAACAACATACTATGCTTAAACTTTATGTGGTTGTAACTAAGCAAGTACTTGCTGTTCTTCAACATTCTTAACTTCCTTCGAATAGAACATTTGGAACACCATCAGCAGTTGTTCCTACTTCTAGCAAAATCACCAAACATTGGGAATCCCTTCCGAAGTCGTGATACCAAACATGTTGTATCTTGCCATCTATTTGACGAAAAACATGTCGTTCTTGAAGATCTTCATCTCGATTACGTCATCTTGAAGGTTGTGACAATCGTAATGTCTCATCCGACATGTCAGCAAATGAAGGCTCTTGAGTTGAATCTGCTGGTTTTTGGTTCTCCATCTCTTGAGTGTCACAACTACAAAGAAGCTACAAACAAGGATTGAAAGTAGAATGTTATCTTGCCTAGATGTTGTTTCTTTTATAAAGAAGGTTTTCATCTTGATTTTGATAGATGTCGTTGATGAAAAGCCTCCATCGCCTTTGCTGCATTTGCAAGATTCTTTACTGGCTCCCATATACATTGACTAATATCATATCCGCACCAATGGATAAGACATTCTAATTTATTTTGACGTCGCTTTGAATCTAAGACTTCTTCTACTTCAAACTCTTCATTATTGTCTACTTCTATAGGAGGAGGTAGAACTTGTCGTCTTCTTGGTATGTCCAATGTCTTGTATGGTTCAAGAAAAGATACGTGGAATATTGGATGGATTTTTATTGACTCCGATAGATGTAAACGATATGCAATTAGATTGATTTGTACAGAAATAAAAAATGGTCCAAGCCTTCGATAGTCCAACTTGTTACAAAGACGAGTGGTCTTGATATTGCGACAAAGTAGCCATACCTTATCATCCAAGTGGAATGGTGGTTGTTCCTTTCAATAGAAATCAGCATTGACTTTTTGTTGTTCTTGAGCCTCTTTTAACTACGCCTTCATCGTTGCATGTAGCTTTGACAAATGAATCGCCAAATCTTTTGCAATAGGATTATCAACTTTTAAAAAGTCAAAAGTATCAAGTCATGGATGATAACCATAATTAGCAAAGAAAGGTGTTTGTTTTGTAGAAGAATGTACTGTATTATTGTAAGCAAACTCTGCCAATGGTAAAAGAGTTGTCCAATCATCTTGTTGGTAGTTAATG